GAGCACTGGCAGGAAATGCCACCGCTCTGATTGCCGCAGCTGGCGAGCTGCTCGCTCCCATCCCGACACGAGCATCTGACAGCTCCCAGTTCCAACCGTCAGCACTCCGTCCCCCGTCAGCCGCGTGTTTTCTCGTTGCCGGGGAAAAGGAATATCTAGGAGAGACCCCTTCAGCCGCATGTTTTCCCTTTGCCGGGGAAAAGGAAAATCCGGGAGAGACCCCCTTCGGCAGTGCACACACACTGCTGCAGACATAGTCTCTCCCTATGCAGTCATAGGGAGAGGCCATCACGCTATTGCTTCCAATCTTAGTCTCTCCTATTTACAGCCAGGACATGATTTTGTCACTCCCAGAGAGATTCCAGCCTCTAATACCTTCTACCATGCAGTGATGTCTCTGGTTCACAGCGCCGCAGCAACGGGAGAGGGATGCGCCCCTAGAGGACCTGAGCAAGGGTGTCCCTGCTGGGATCCCCATCTCCCACTCCCGAAAGGGAACCCGCAAAGAAAATGCACCACAACAATAAAGGGAACGTGAAATTGGGGAAGGCTCTCCACTAAGGGAATGCAGAGCCCAAAATGAAGCTCTATCCCTCCTTGACCCCTGGGAGGCAGAGACAGATGCATGGCTTCATGGAGCGTTTTGACCTCTAGGCTGAGAGGGAGGCAGTGGGGTTAACTGAGGTTAACAAGCAGAGGTTAAAGGGAGCTAAATGTAGTTTACTGCCTCCTAATTTGGGTGAATTTCCTCTCCTCTCAAATGAGGTAAACAGGTCAGTTTGGGTGAGCTTTCTCTCTTCTCGAATAAGGTAAGCAGGTAAGTTTTCCCATTTTTCTGTCTGTGGCCCAGTGGTTGGGAGGCATACAGCTTTCTTCTTGGTCCACAGACAATGTCCACCACTATCTCCAGACCCTCTATCCCCCAACTCCAATTTCCTACAGCAAAAGCTTTTTGTCCTCCTCTTATTCCCAGTTTTCCTCCTCATACCGACTCCAAACTACATTTCCTAAGCCCTGACATGTCCCTCTGGCTCTTGTACTGTCCCTGCCCGCTCAGCTGGATACCAAACAGTGCTGCCTGCCCTGGCATGGCCAGGTACGGGACACGATGTCCCATCCTCCCTTCCTATGCTCAAGGCACCTGGCTGGGTTTCTGCCTCACTCCTCTGCCTGGCTTCTGGTCTTCTGTGGACAGTGATGTATTTGATATTAGCCTGTTGGGACATGTCAAACTTCTCAACAAATGAAATTGGCCTACAAACTCAAAGGAAAAGATAGAAAATTAATCAAATGCTGTTAGGAAACTTAGGTGAACATCAGGAACAAAAGCAGAGCAAGTCCTCTCTGTGCATTCTTTGTCTCTGGGATTTTTAATGTTATTTTTGGATTTTAGCAAAGCAGATGTTTTAGTAATATTTATTAACCAGCAGGTCACCAACCCTAGATATTCACTGAGTCTGCTAAAAAAGAACTACAGAAGTCGAGCTCTTGCTGTTGGATAAGGCAGGAGACTTTGCAGGTGGTGATGGAAGCACTCAGAGATGAGTATGGAAGCACTGGCACTCAGACCAAAGGTCCACCTGGCCTGCAGGCAGGCTGTGGTGCTCAAGGGAAGCTCCAGGTTTTTCGGGTGCATGGACTCCATTCCTGAGAGGGGCCAATAAAGGGAAGGACTGCTCATTCACTTCCTTTGTGGGCAAAGATAAATGCTGTTGCTCCTGCCTGGCAGGACAAATAGGAAAGGCAATGTACGCAGGTTTGTAGGATGCTATAGGGAGAGGCCACCACATTATTGCTCCCAATCTCAGTCTCTCTTATTTACTGTCAGGACATGATTTTGTCACTCCCAGAGAGATTCCAGCCTCTAATATCTTCTACCATCTGCTTCTGAGACTCTTGAAGATCATTACAGCAGTTTCAGCCTGCTCTTGCCTCTTTGCAGCCCTGGAGCCAACCCCCACCCATCTTCAAGAATGCATTTATTTTGCTTCTCTCTCCTATCTCAGATCAGCCCATTCCTTAGTGACCTTGGACTGCTCTGTGTGCTCCCATACTACAGTCTTTCTGCTTCCTTCCCTGAGGTGGATCCACACATACACATGGTTTGAAAGAGCCAAGCACTTCTCTTAGAGAGAGAGTATGGCAAAAGACAATTAATGGGCCCACCACCCAGCCTAGCACTCAGGATCCTTGTCCACATCAGAGGACACCAAAAGATGTGTTTCCTTAGAAGGTCCAGCAGGTAGAGCCTGCTGTGGGTAGCCATAGGATGGTGCAAGCAGTGTAACTCCTGTCCTGGCGTTCCTAATGGAAGAGGTCTCAGAAATGGCCCTGTCCACTCCTGTGCTGTAGGTCTGCTGCTCAGCACTAAGCTATGGACTGCAACAGTAGTTCATGAGAGGCACTTCATTGTTTGGAGGAGAAAACTGTCTCAGATAGCATTAAGGTTTTTATTCTGCCCTGTATCCTCAAAGAAGACTCCACTCTGCCAATGCAATGTGAGGGTCAAATTTTTCTTGGAGCCTCCTTCCACCTATCTCTTCCAAACCCACACAAACAAACAACTGGCATAATAACTTGTGGCTCTGGGTGCTGGCCAAGTCATGGTACCTGGGCTTCTTCTCGAGGGGCTGCTCTTTGACTGTAGCTTGGCTGCTAAAGCTCTGGTGTTACTTGCTGAGCTGCAAGTAACATTCCCTTAAAGATGTATTTCTCTGTGGATATTCCCTGATCCCCACAAGGGATTGTGATTCCCTCCATGTTGTTCAGCTTTCCAAGAAGGGCAAAACAAATCCTTTTTACTATGGAAAGGCAGTGTACTTCTGGCATTCACAGTGGCATGGCACTTCTCCAACCCAAAGGTTGGGCAGGCACTAGAATGATCCATGGAAGAGCAATTGGGAATCCACGTGTTTGGTCAGTCCTTAGACTCCTTCAGCCTCTGTTTACTGAGGGTGCTGCTCTCTGCAGAACACTTGTGGTTCTGGGAAGAGACTGAAGTGAGGCATTGAAGCAAGAGGGGAAAAAGCACAGAAGATGGGACAGAAAGCTTCTTCAAACCCCTTCCCACCCCTGAGAGGGAACACAAATATTTCTGCCTCTTTCCTCCCAGCCCACACACGTGGAGCAGGTCAAACTGCATGTTTAAATTTCAGAAGTTGCAGAGTGACTTCCACTGTGCTACAAACTCCTCTACCTCTGGGTGGGAGATGGCACAACGGTGTTGCACCAACTAATGCTGACTGAAATGTTAAGTGCGGCTGACAGCTGGACGGTGGGATAGGATGCACTTCGGCCACCTCAGCAGAGGTATGTAGAGGCTGATGACTCTTTTTCCTCGGGCCTGAAGTGCTGGTGGTT